TCTTGTCATTTTTTTTTTTTTTTGTTTTATTGGAATGGTCTGAAACTTGGTAAATGGCACTTGCGATGTGAACACACACAAAAAATGACGCATTGGAAACGAATGGAAAGTGAATTTCATCTAGTGAAAACGTTTGGTACTGCGCTCAAACAAAATCTGATGTTTTGTGATATCAACTTCAAATTTGGAGCACAACATGATTTGATTTATGGATTTTCTCCAAGTTTTAGAGTAAAACATGTTTCTGGAAATATATTTCATGTAATATTTGAAAATGGTATTTTTGTGCATTTTTCTTTTTTTTTTGCCAGGTGTCTTCTTTAGAAACAGACCAAACTTAAGTCTTCTTTCAAGATTTACAACAGTTTCAGGTCTATGCTCAAAAAGTGCTCAAAAAGTAATATAGGTAATTAAAATTAATATAGGTAATTTTAATTGGATCAAAATATAGTATATTCATAGTATATAGTACATTCATTTCATTAAAATAAATAAATATATAGATAGATAAATAAATAAGTACATTTTTAATTGTTTCATGAGCAGAATCAGAGGGTTAAGTAGATTTTTCTGACTCCATTGACAGATATTTCTTTTTAAATCATAAACTAACTTCATTTTGATCAATTTAAATAAAACAAGACTTTATCATTTTGCTTCTTAAGTAAATGTATCTTGATTTAATCATCTTTAGACATTTGCACTGGAAAACAAGACCAAAATACGGAGAAAGATATACATTTTTTGCAATTTAGTACAGTAAAATCTATTTCCATATTCTAGTGTTTAAAGGCAGAACTATTTATTTATTTATTTATTTATTAAATGAAATTAAAAAACAACGATGATCTGTTGGAAGTTGATTTTCAAACTTTGAAGTCTTGCTAATACAAAACATTTACATTTAGAGACCAGACTGTGTTCCCTTCAATTTATTCTGTTCATTTTCTTTACTTGGTCTTAAAAAATTCTTAAATCTACCTTCATGAAGCCTGCAGAACCCCTGCTATGAATAGTTTGTGTGCCATCGGTCCGTCTCTGTGGGAACGGAGCAGGTTGCTCATCGGGAGCGTCAGATTGCGTCGGATCGCCGCTGTAATGCCAGCGAATGTGTGTGAAACGCTGAATTGCACTGAAGTGCTGCTCAGATTGAACCCAGAATGAAATTGATCGTGTTACGGAGCCGACGAGCAGAGGTTTCATTAGAGATGAAGCCCAGACAGCACAAACTGATTTACCTGTGCTTTACTGTAAGCTCTAGCATCGCTTCAAAACACTGTTGTCTGTCGGGGGAAAAAAATCTTTATTTGCAGTATAATAAATGCAGTATCAAAGTAGTGATAATTAGGTGAACTGCACAAAAATATCCGGGTCATATTTGGCTCAAAAATCAAAAGAAAAAATGATATTTTGCATAAAGAAAAAATAAAATAAAATGGACAATTAAATACATTTTACCCCCAAATTCTCATTACTGTAATGCAGTATTTTTTGTTATTAAAGTAAATAATATTGTCATGAAACTAACACAATACAAAATATCTTAATGCTCTTAAAAATTGTTTTATTTTAATAAATGTATTTTCTCCTTTCTTTCACAATCTCATGCACAGCCCTCAAAATCATCAATATTTAATTAATTATAAATATGATCAATAATACAATAATAATTGTAATAATTAATAATTAGAATTATTATATATATATCTATATCTCTCTCTCTCTCTCTCTCTCTA